AAGGCTATCCAACTATGAATCAGTTGGCTATTTTTTTAATGGCTATTGAGCATGTCTTAGAGTTGCAGTACAAGAAGAGAGAGTTTCTAGAGAGTTGCCCTTTTCCAAACGATAGGAAATGGATTCAATTCAATCCACCATGAATAGATTAAATAATGCAATTTTTGTAGGGGATATCGGTATAAAGGTATACATTCATTTTGTTATTCGAGAGATACTTACCAGGATTTATTCTTATGTCTGTTTTGTTGTGTTATCCCTCTAAAGTAAATAAGGTACACACTTTTTAGATGTCGCTGAATTAACACTGCCTTGTTCCTTGATGGTGGTTGTTACTAACATTGTGACACTCTATCCAAAAGCGTCTATCATCGATTCCTAACCAACACCCTTGCAGGTATGCCATCGTCAATGCCAATTCGATCATTTCATGTTTGATTTTGTATTACTATATAACATTACTCCAATATGTTTTACTGTGGATATCATGTACAATTGGTAGTGTTGTAAATATTGGAAACACATTGGACGAGATGTATTCGATTTATCAAAATCGTGCACCCGCCACTTTCGCCATCACTTGTAATGTAAAATCAACCAGAACCACCAATATCATGTTGCAATAAAAAAATTATTCTGAAAAGCTTTATTTTAATGATAACTTAAGGGTTGATTTCATTTTTCATGCAGCTTTATTTTATTCCGGCTACTGTAAAGATGTTAAGTAATTTGAAGGTAAATTTTTGTTCACTATGCAGGGTAATTGATTTATGTATTTTTACCAGCCAAATAACAACTTGCATAACCATTACATATGATATATCTTGTGATAGCTGATGAGCACTTCTTAAATTTTGAGTCATTGCTTTCAACCAAAAATTTCTTTTCACTTCATTTCAAGAAATTCTCTTGCTATATTATCTCCATTATATTTTAGTCTTTTAAGTTGTTTTCTGTTACGTTTCTTATGACGATTGGAAGTACTTTTCTCTTGATAGTTTGTTGAAATTGAACATGTTTTTTATGGTTGGTTGTTGTTTGTACATGTTTCATATGTTAGTACCTACTCAACTCATAGAGTATTCAAAATCGCCTTCTTCTGCCTTGGAACCCTTCAGGTAAGACCTTATATATTATTGATTGTTTTCTGAAACAACTGATTAACAAGTCTTATGTTACGTTACGCTACTAATTGTAATCTACTGATAAACTTTTGCTACTGAAACAACTGATTAACAAGTGTTATGTTACGTTACACTACTAATTGAAATGCTACTAACAAACTTGGGTGAATCCTTAACTTTGAGACGGAGTTGGAGCCATGTTGAGTGAGAGTATGTGACATCGTGTCGTTATAGCACTCAAGTATTGTTAATGCATTGAGGCTAATTTTAATTTGGGCCGCTGATCATCTGTTATAGTACTCCTTTTAATCCCAGTCCTAGATTTTCACTTCATGGTTACCTATGAAAATGTCACAGAGCTTTGTATCTCTGTTTGTCCTTGTAATTTATGTTATGCATGTGGTATGTTGCTTGTTTTCTTTGACATTTACTTTCTCACTTAGGCAACACTTATGGGTTTTTACTTTGTCTTTACACGTGCAACTCAGACTTTGCAGTCTTCTCAAGGTAACACTTTATTTATCTACCCTTTCATGTGTTTGTGTTTATTACTTAGTGATGGTCAACATCGAAAACTTGAATATTCTCTTAGTGGACTTATCTAGTAGAGATTATATAACTGATGGTTCTTTATGAACCAGGGTGGTAGACCCTGAAATACTGGATGTGGTCATTTTGGCAATGATATATTCTTCCATATACTTTATAGAGACTAGAAATAGTTATGAGAATGTGAAGGACTTTTGACATAATGCTTAAGGGTCAAACACTTCTCAAGATAAGGAGAATCTTCAGGTGTAAACGAATATCGGGGGAAACCTCGTTTAAGATTGACATCAGGAAGTCGGTCATGGTTTCGATTTCCCTTAAATTCCATGATAAATCTGTGACAGTATGAGAGTATGTGGATGAATCGAAGACATGTGTTTATGTTAAGACTTTTAGGCGCTTGTAGAGTCGAGAACCCAATGATGGAGAAATTTGGTGGTGGATCGAGTTTCAATCATGTTCCATGACTCACCATAAAAAATTTTGCTTGTTGACAGTGAGAAGGAGATTTTTCATAGGAAGCAGTTAGATCTTGATCTTTCTACTAACGAAAATCATTACTCTTGAGTGGAATGAGATGTCTAGGGAACGATGTTCGTCTTTAATAAGGCACGTCATATAGAGAACACCCATCAAGACGTGGGCTCGTCATGTGATTGGTCGGTCTCCTAAGTAGGGTCCCACAAAAGTTAGTGTAGTCTCTTTGACGAGTTCTTTTTACCTATTCATGAGTGTGTGTTTTATAGAATGGGAGCCACATTTCCTTTCAACAAGTTCGAAGTTAACGTTATAAATCATTTAAGAATTGCATGTTCCCAACTGCCTTTGGGGAGTTGGGCTTATGTAAAGGTGTAGTGTTATATTTGGTACAAACCCCAGACTAGGACGCCCTCGCCCAATAATTGGCCGCCCAGACGGGATTCAAGTGAATCGCCTGAGAAGTCCCACAAATGTGGGAGTCAAGCAAGAGAAAGTCCCCGCTGACTCCAAGAAGATAAGCGGTCAATAATCTCTCTTAGTAAGAGAAGAGCGGTTAAGACCACACATAGAATTTAAAAACCCTAGGTGTTGGAAACTCCTACAAATATGTCATCCCCCAAAGGGATAGACATACTTTAGGTCATACACAATCTCCACTACTCAAAGAGCACTACGCTTGTAACCACCGTAAAATATTCAACCAATCTAACTACTTATCTACAACCAAGCTACTCCAACCACCTACAGTCTATCTCACCTCACGTGAGTGGGTATCTTAAACAACCTCAAAAACCACCATATAGGGCTACTCACAGATGTGAGCAAGCCCTCACCATCCAAACATGTATTATACCTATAGAGGGCCTCTTAGTCGACATGCCCTTATAGGGGAATATGCACAACCTGTATTTTTTTACAATACAATGGTACCACTATGGAGCCCAATAAAACTAACATGGGCAACACCTTTTTTAACAACCATCACCTTCCTTGTCGTACCCTTAACTCCTACCCCAAAAGAGATTCATCCCCTAATCTTTAGGGTATCAACAGTACATACGGTGTTTATGCCATGGCAGATGTGCGAGCTACCATGGATGAGTTACGACGCCACAATCAGTCGTTGGAAGACGAAGTCCAAAACATCAGATAGTGCTAATAGGAGGTCACCCCCATAAGAGGTGGAACTTCTGGTTCCCCAGCCACTCTCGGGTGAAATATGGGGAGCCCCTATCCCGAAGGTTTCAAACCTCTTCCCTTGGACAAGTTTAATGGACGTTGTGATCTCTACAAACACGTAGCCTCATCGATACACGAATGACCATCATAGGATCAATAGACTCTCTAAAATGTAAGTTGTTATCAAGAATGCTAAGGGATGTCACCCTCATATGGTACACGGGCATGTCTCGGGCCTATATTAAAAGCTATCAAGAATTAGTAAAGAAGCTGGTACACCAGTTCGCCTTTAGTCACCACAGGAATATGTCCACCACTAGTTTGTTTAACATCTACCAAGTTCCATCCGAATTTCTAAGGGAATATCTCTTCCGCTTTAATGAATCCACCATCAAGGTCGTCCCTCCTGACCAAGAAATGTTTGTGGGAGCGTTCCAAAATGGACTTAAGGCGAAAGACTTCAATGAATCCCTCACCTAAAATCCAGCACTCATGTTGGCCGAAGTAGTCTCCAGGGGGGAGTGCTACATTAAAAGCGAGGAAAACAATGCTGAAAAGAAGGCTTGAGACATCAAGGAGTGTGTCCCAGACACCGAGAGCTCTCATCCCTCTAGAGAAAATAGTTACACCTCGCCCGTGAAGGACAAGTTCGCGTTCAAAATAGTGGGGAAGAAAATGAAGAGTTTCACGCTTTTGAATACATGCCGAGAATAGATCAGGCGCGAGGTACTCCACTTACACAACATCTCGACACCCCCGGCCCCCAAGACCGAGGTAATGGGATTTGAACCAAAAATGTGATGTAAGTTCCATAGGCAAAATAAATCACACCGTTGATTTCTACCAACTGAAGAAGGGAAAAATTGATACATGAGGGAGACCTTAAGAAATATGTGTAAGGCGATCCTTACAACTGAGTGAAGAGAGATAATCTGCGTGTGCGAGAAGGTAGTGGAAGATCTTGACCAAACAAAGCCAAGGAAACATTGCATAACGAAGGTAGTAAAGCAGTGTGTCATACCCTCAACACCATAGCATAAGGATTTGTTGGGGGCGGCGAAACCAGCTTCGCTTGCAAAAGATACGCCCGTGAAGTTTCAAGTATAAAAAAAATCCCTTAAGTGAAGAGTATGAAGACGCCATAAGCCACAATTACCTTCCCAAAGAAGATGTGTTTTTCGTTCATCCTCACAATGATGATCCCATGGTCATCACTGTCAAATGCGGAGAATGGGAGATCAAAAGAGTTCTAGTGGACCAGAGAAGCTCCACTAACATATTATAGTGGGAAGCCTTTGATAGACTATGTCTCTGTCCTAAGGACTTGAAGCCTTTTAAGGGATATCATTGGTCAAATTTTTAGGAGAGTAGTTGCAAGTGAAAGGGTACCTCACCTTAAGGATCACGTTCAAAGAGCAGGACCATGCCAAAGAGATAAAGGTTAAGTATCTAGTCATTAATGCCCCATCTTTTTATAATATGATTATTGGGCGACCGGTGTTTAACCGATAGAAGCTTCTTTATCTACCTTATATTTGTGTATGAAATACCTACTCCCCAATTGGCGGATGGGAGATATCCGAGGATATCAGGAAATCACTAGGAAATGTTATGCAAAATGCCTCAAGCTAAAGAGGATGCACCTTCCAGACATAAGGATAAAAAAGTTCAGTCATGGAATAACATTTCTCGATGAAGCAAGCGAGAGAAATGAAGCTTCTCGTCGGACCTTACAACAGGATGAAGCTTGGAACCAAGAAGGAATATTCCCTTATCCTCTGGAACCATCTATTTAGTCATTATGTTTCTGATATTCATTTATGTAGTTATTTTATCTTTTGTTATTTGTTTACCTAGTTGACATTTCGTCATAGGAAAGTATTAAAATCTATCAATTATAAGGATAAGCTTTCAATTAGGATGCCCTCTTTTCCCTCTACGCGTTCAGGGGAGCAATGGTTTTTAATGAGGCATCTCATCCTTATTTGTCTATATTTATTTGCTACGTCATATCTTTATAGAAAATCTAGGCACATGAAATCCTCTCAATATAGGCAATTATAAATTATAGATTCCCCCAGAGAGGCTCATTTTCGCCCACAGAGGAAATTATATATTTTGGATCCCCCAAGAGAGGATCATTTCTGCCCATAGAGGAAATTACATAAGTTGGATCCCTCAAAAGAGGACTCTTGCCGCTCTTAGAGGTAATTATATATCATGGATCCCCCAAGAGAGGATCCTTACTTCCCATGGAGGCAATTACGTAAGTTGGGTCCTCCAAGAGAGGATCCTTGCTGCCCATAAAGACAACTACATAAGTTGAATCCCCTAAGAGAGGATCCTTGTCGCCCATGGAGTCAATTATATATGATGGATCCCCAAGATAGGATACTTTCCTTACATAGAGGCAATTGCATAAGCTAGATCCCCAAGAGAGGATCCTTTTCGCCCATAGGGGCAATTATATATGCTAGATCCCCCAAGAAAGGATCATTTTCTCACATAGGGGCAATTATATGCGTTAGATCCCCGAGATAGGATCCTTGCCACTCCTAAAGGCAATTAAAAAACAGACCCATGGGAAAAGAGATTCCTACCATCTTAAAAATTGACACAATAATATATACAAAACAATAACAAATAACTATCAAGACATTTAACATAAAAAGATGCCCCTAAAGGGACACTGTTGTTCCAAACTATTACAAAAGCCTCCAAGGGGGTCAAAAGAAATACAAAAAAGAATAAGAAAAAAACAAAATAGGGCAAATATAATTCTCTTTGGTATACCTCATCCATAACAGCATGCTCTAGATCGGGACTCTCAGGTTCACCACCCTCCCAGGTTTCACCTTCCTCCTGAATGGGGAAAGGCTCAAGTTTGGGAGAATTTGTCGCCTCCTCATCCACCATCGCCCTGCCTTTCACAGCCTTGAAAGGATATAAGGGACTCAGGTTTAGAGTAAGGTACAAATAAAGTACTTTCTCTTTGGCCCACTCAAAGTACACGCCGACAACTGACACCACTTTTTCGTTCAAATATTATACCTCATTCTCTAAAAAAATTGGTGGATTATAATCACATCCAAATAGTCATGTAGAGATTATTTCTCAGCAGAGATCTCTTGGGCTTTAGCTGAGCATCCTCCAGCCTTTTTCCCTATTTTTCCTCATCTTGTTGGAAGGACTATAACAATTGTTGGCTCTCATTATAAGCCTTCTCTTGCTCCTGAAGCCTTGCCTCTAGGTCACTCGCATCCTTGTCATACCTTCCGTGTTCGACATCCAAGAGCATTAACGCCCTTAGTAAAAAGGTATCTTTAATATTCATAATAGTCGAGGAGGGTTGTGAACAAAAGGCCCAGTACTCATCATGGAACTCCTTTGAAAAAGGGAGGTGTGAACCTCTAAAGCGGAAAACATAGGGACTAACATCGTTCCACCAAGGTATAATATTCTCGCCTCCAGTGGGATTTATCGCTTGACCAACAGCAGAAGGAGGCCCATCTCCCAATCATTTAGTTTTAGCCTCGGGTAACTTCGAGGTCGACGTCTCAGACGCTCTTTTCTGCCCTCGGATGGTAAAACCCCAGGTGGATTTTCGGACTATTAAAACCTAAAATGGCAGACCTGATCTTTTCCCATATTTGCATGTGCTCTTGGGTCATGGTTTTTTCCATTTGGTTTGCATAAAAAAACACAATGTTGGATTTTGATCTTCTTGCTAACAAAAATAAGTACTCTTGGGTAGAACGAGATATATAGAGCATGATGTTCATATTTAATAAGGAACATCGTATGGAGAACACCCATCAAGATACCCACCCATCATATGATTGGTCGGTCTCCTAAGTAGGGCCCGACTAAAGTTATGTAGTTGCTTTGACGGTTACTTGTTACTCATTCATGAGTGTGTGTTTTCTAGAATGGGTGTCACATTTCCTTTCAACATTTTTAAAGTTAGGGTTATAAATCATTTAAGAATTACATGTTCTCAACTGCATCTGGTAAGTTTGGCTTATGTAAAGGTATTTAGGTATTGGTGTGAATATAAGAATGTTATTCCACTTTAAATCCTTTCTTTCACTTCTTTAATGAACAACGTATTTCAGCCACGGCGAAATAGGAGCAAGGTATGTTTTCTTTTCAGGAATCGATAAAAATTTTGGCGTTTATATATACAATTTTAATAAATTTAAGGATCAACGTCACCTATTATTCCACATATTTGTGATACTCACAAGATCTTGTGTGTTTTGCAAGAACAACATTTGGTTCTACATCTGGCCTTTGGTTTTGAAGATAACAATATAGTGTTTGTTAGAGAGTAATTTTGTACCCTAATGGTTTTGTCTTGTGTGTAGATTTTGCTAACATGTTATGACTCTGATGTAATAGCGTGTGATATCGTCAGTTTCTGGAATCAACACACTCTGACTCTAGAGAAATACAAAATATGTGTTACAAGATATTGTCAAGTTCAGAAATGCTTCTATATAACGGTTCTGATGAAAGTTAGTCTAAAGCTTCTGGATGTGACTTTGATGGTAGAGCTTCTGAGGTCTTCTCAAGCTATGAGGTTCTGAATAAAAAGTTTTGAAGATTCTGAAGACAAGGTTCTGCTGAATAAGTTCTGAAGACAAGGTTATGAATATTATGCACTCTCAAGTTTTGAGGTTCTGAAGACCAAGTTCTGAAGACTCTGAAGACAAGGTTCTGATGAACAAGTTCTGAAGACTCTAAAGACAAGGTTATTAAGACTCTCTTATTGTTTTTATCCTTTTAAACATGCTTCACCAACACAACTTCTGAAGCATCTGAATATTAGAAGATAAGATCAAAAAGGTTTTATATGAGTAAATAGTACATGGTATAAGATCAAATATTCCTCCCACTAAGATAATTTTGTGGTGCAAGGATTATACTATGGTACGATGTTGTATACCACTCATATTGACCGTTATTCAAGAATACAACTAGAATTTAGAGTTCCCATTCTACCCTTTAATGGATCTTCCTTTGTCTATATAAAGAAGACATGAAAGAATGGAAAACAACGAAGGTCATGTGAAAATAAAGTCTGCAAAAAATTTCTCTGATTCATTTTATTCTTTTGTAAAGAGTTGTAAAGCGAGGAGCTTTTGTTCATTAACTTGCTAGTAACACTTTTATGTTCATCATTGTATTTAAACTTGTGTAAACCTGCTTTTTTAGAAGCATCTTGTAAACACACTTATTTGTATTTAAACAGTGAGTTGATTGTTACTTGAGAGACTAAGGTATAGACATAATTTCTCAAAAATATATCGACGGGTATTCATTGTGGTCTATAATCAATTTGATTATAGTAGATTAAGTCCTTGTTGATAAAGGCAAAATAATTTTGGCGGGTGGACTGGATTAACTTCGTTAATAGTGAACTAGGATAAAAATAATTGTATTCATTTATTTTTGTTCTTGTTTCATCCTTGCTTGTTTGGGAAGCAACAATTTTCATTTCTTGAAACCCAATTCAAACCCATCAACTTTCTTATGTTTCATGTACCTTCATGTTTTACCATAGGGCTCTTCATACCCCACTAATTTTTAAAGGTTGTGAACAAGTATATATTCAATCCAGGTGATTTCTCTCTAGAGAAAGAGATTTTGAAGATTGAGCTCATTTTCTTTTCCAAAGGCCTAGGTTTTGTGGCAAGGTCAGTCATTTTGACGGACATGCATCTAGATCAAAGAGGTGTAATATTGAGACACGATTGTATGGTTCCATGTTCAGTACATGTTAAAATATTATTGTTGAACAAGTAACTTCACATACAAAAGTGGGTGAATTATGCTATTTAAAATTCGTGATTAATTTTAAAAGGTTGTTTACTTAAAAGAACAATTTTTGTTAGTATAGAAATAGCACGCAGAAAAGCAACATAAATAAATAAAATAGAGAAAATAAATGATATAAAATAAAGATACAGGATTAGAGAGATGGCGCCGAGATCTATAGAGGTTTAGAAGAATGTTGGCCTAGTCCTCTCCCAAAGAGATCTTCTTAAGTGTTTTAGTAATGACCTAAACTTGTATAGGTTATACCCACAAACATGTGTTACAAGCTAATCAAAACATTTTATAATGGCTTGCCCATTTATCCAATCAAGAGCTTTTCCAAGGGTTGAGCTCATGAGCTGTGTAAAGATTTTATTGGTTAATCTTAATAACCAAACATAACTTTTATCAGGCCAAGTTTTTGAGCCAAACACAAATTTTCACTTGTTTATCTATAGAACCAAACAAGAATCTTAAACAAAATTGCACTCTTTAAATAACCAAACAAGATGACTTCAATACAAAGTTTTCCTCACAAGTAGTTTTCACTCACAATGAACTAAGACAAATTTTGGTGAAAGAAAAATATCAAGAGAGAAGAGGAAAGTAATAAAATAAAAATAAACTGGAGAAATCCAAATTTCAGTGTGATTTAGAATTAGGAGAGGCCTCCTTTATATAGGAGAAAATGTGGCTAAAGAAAGAAACAATCCATAGCGCTAATGTTGTCACATTTTATCAAGAGAACTCCAAGATTAACACTATAATCATTGAGTTGTTGTTTCATCTAGATAATTTAGACATAACAATTACTCACAATAATGTATTCATCCTCTACTATGGATAGCACTACACTTTATTATTTCTTGTTTTGCCATGAGAAAATGATTTCCCAAGTTAGCCCATGGTACTTTTCCTATCCAATTTGCACCCAGCAAAATCAAAGATGATGCACCCAACTAAGTCATAATCCACTCCTTTGGAGTACCATAAACCCATTTGTAGTGTGCCAATAAGATATCTCGAGATGCGTTTGACCATACAAAGACATGATTATTCAACATTTTCTTGAAAATGAGCACATTGGCACACAACAAACATTATATCTGGACAAGAGGTAGTGATATAAAGGAGTGAACAAATCATACATCAATATTTTTTCCTCGATTGGTTTTCCTTTCTCGTCCTTGTCTAGATTCACTATAACAAATAACGTTTTTCATGAAGAAGCTTTCAACTCACCCAAAGAAAAACCAAGGTATAATGCCAATACACACCACCTTTATTTATTTATAAAAATAAAAAACCAAATATTCCCTCAATTTTTAAAATAAGCGAGGGGAAAACCAAATCAGGAGACGCTTCGAATCCCAGCCATTGTAGTTTATGTTTTTAATTTTTTTATAAGTGTAAACTAAATTATCTAACCCTTCGGTTTTTGATAAAACCGAGGGATAAAATAATCAGATTTTACTATAAAATCACTTGTTAAATATATTTTACCATAACCCTTACTAATATGAAACCGCTCCAAACTCGCATGCATCATTATTTAGGATGTATTGCAAGATAGAAAAAATCTTCAATGATCTTCTATCTAGAACAAAATATTTTTTCTGTCCTTGTAATCTATCTCACATAATTGTGTTAATATTGTTATTGTTATGTTTTTGTTGTGGTTGTGGTTGTTGTTATTGTTGTTGTTGTTGTTGTGTTTTTGCTTATTTTCTAGACTGTAAGTGCAGAAAATCATTCTTGTTCAAGTTACACAAAGAAGGAAGTTCAACCTTAGAAAAGTTAAACAAAGAAGGGAGCTTAAATTTTTTTAAGATGGATCTATAGCATCTTGCATGGAACTTGGGCAATCTCTGGGGGAACTAAATCTTGATATTAGCAAAGATTTGTTCCATACAATGTATTTTTAAACAAATTAATATATTAATATTATGGGTAAACAAATGTAACGATTTTCATTAAAACAAGGATTTAATCTTACCCCTCAGTTTTCTTTTAAAATCGAGAGGTAAGAAAAACTAATATTTTAATGAAAAATATCTTATTCACCTCGCTTTTTTCGCAACCAATGAGATAGTTAA